CTTCCCTTTCTACTTCTAAAATAATATTCACTCTATGCCTTATGTCACCCCAACTAGTTTATAACATGATCACATTAAATGTAATTGGTTGCCCCCAACTGCATTGTGCCAACCACAATACTATGTATACAATATGTGTTCATCTATTTAAAAGGAACATTTGGCCATTTTAACAGCAAAATATCGATTTCTTCATAAATGCACATATGTATGTATATATATGATGTGTATAATAAAAATATATATAGTCAGGCCTCCATATTCACAGGTTCCAAATCCTCAGATGGAACCAACCACAGATGGAAAACATTTGAAAACAAACTGCAATAAAAAATAAAAATACAACAATAAAAATAATACCAATTATAATGTAGTATAAAATAATTTACATAGCATTTACATTGTGTTAGATGCTGTAAGTAATGAAGAGATGATTTGAAGTATAGAGGAGGATGTTCGTAGGTTATATGCAAATGCTACAGCGTTTTATTTAAGGTGCATCCACTGATTTTGGTAGGAATTCTGGAACCAATCCTTTGTGGATCTTGAAGGATGACTCTGCATGTGTACACAAGTGTATGTATACATATGTATACATGTAAATGCACCCATGTAATTTGCCTAGGAGAAATAGAGATTATTTGAAGTATTATTCAGCCTATGATATTTGTCTCAATCCCCATAGTTCTTGTTAGGTTTCCCTTTTTCCATACTTTGCAAATATGGGTATTTTCAGTCCCCATCCTATCTTGGATGGATTCTAATGAATGAAAATTATTTTTACGTATGTACATTTCTATATTTGTATATGTGCATGAGTATGCATGTATGTGTGTATCTCCTAATACATTTTTTGGCTACTTACTACATTTTAAGTTTTATAATTCTTTTTACTTGGAATATTAGAACAAATCTAAAATATCTTTGTGCATGAGCTTCAACTTTTAAATAGTAACTATTCAAATGATTTTAGTGGGAATTTGTTCCTATGGACATTTAACACACATATTTCTTTAAATGTACACTCTGTTGTCATAAGTATATGGGATTTGTTTTATACATTTTTAGTATAGTAGCAGTATAAGATAGAAAAACATAGCATCACCAACATTGATAGAAACAGTGTCTTAATTCTTGGTGGGTGGTTATTTGCACAAGAGATGCTTGCACAGTTATTGAGAATGTTGTAGTTCCTTCTCTTAAGTTGCATACATAGTATTCTAGTGTGTCCTTTGTTCAGACTGCCACCATTTGTCTGTTCCCTCTTTTTCATTAGAATAACCATTCATTGCCCATCCGTAACTGTTCTCACATTACCTATGTTGGGACATGTTAATTTATTGATTGCATCAGTCTACCATCATTCAAAATTAATCAAGTAAATTTAAACTCTTACTTCTCACATCCCACTTTAACTTCTCTCACTTCTTTTGTCCTCATAGCCAGTGAAAGTTCATGTAATGGTTATCCTCATCTTCCCTTTTTACTTCTATATTTAACCATTTCTGAATATATGAATTTTCGTCATTACTAGTTAGCTGTATGTCAAATTCCATTGGTACTTATCTCTGTATTATCTTAATGAGAAACTATAAGCCCCCTTTTCCTACATTTCGTGTTACTCACTACTATTTTAAGTACCACTTCAGGTAGAACTTATTAATAATCAGACAGTAGCTTTTAAAAAATTATCCTTTTGTGAAATATTTCAAAATATATTATACTTTTGAAATCTGATTGAAGGTCTGTAGCTAGGGGTGGGAGGAGATAGTAGGTATATTTCCATGCTTTATTTTTATATTTATTTATTTATTTATTTATTTATTTATTTTTGAGACAGAGTCTTGCTCTATGGCCCAGGCTGGAGTACAGAGGCACGAGCTCGGCTCACTGCAAGCTCCACCTCCCGGGTTCAGACCATTCTCCTGCCTCAGCCTCCCAAGGAGCTGGGACTACAGGCGCCGCCACCTCGCCCGGCTAGTTTTTTGTATTTTTAGTGGAGCCGGGGTTTCACCGTGTTAGCCAGGATGGTCTCGATCTCCTGACCTCGTGATCCGCCCGCCTCGGCCTCCCAAAGTGCTGGGATTACAGGCGTGAGCCACCACGCCCGGCCCATGCTTTAGTTTTAGCCTAATGATTTCAAGAGCTGACAATACACAAAAGCATTGTAGAGAAACTAAAGAACACGATACAATCATACCTGTTGCTGCAGGACTGAGCACTGATCTCAAATAAGGCTTGGAAACATAATTTAATTAATGAATTTCTCACATTTCTTTTATCATCTGCACAGTACATCTAGAATTTGAATGATTCTTTCCCGTGACTTAATATTGATTTTTAAAAGACCACAGTAAGACATGGCATGCAAAGCCTTTGGGGCCACTAATAGAGAGTCTAGGGGCAGGATAAAGCATGATACTTCCTAGGAGACTATATTTCAAAGTGGATTTTACATAGTCCTGTTTCATAAGATGCTCCAGGACAGAGGATTTTATGTCATATAAGATTTGAACAGATTTGTAAAGGATTCAAGTAGTAAAGAAATTTCTTCATATATTCAACTATGGAACTTCAGTGTCATTATCGTTTAAAAAAATACCATTAAAATCCTGTAGACTACTTTTGAGAAAGACTAGAACATAGATTTTATGATGGGTATGGAGGGTTTGAGTGAAGCTAATACCAATTTTACTGCTTGGAAATCTATTTGAAGGTCTTGCTTATTGGCTCTTGGCTCTTGGCTTCAAAACATTCATGAAAAATTTCTAGGCAAGAAATCAGGGAAGGAATTAACAGAATATATTATTTATTTATGAAGGCAAAGGTTATTGCTGTTTTTACTTATCTGAATATTTAATTCTTAGCACAGTGTCTCAAAGTTTGCTTGCAAAGTAAATGAATAAAAAAACAAAAACACAGATTTGTTAGAAACAAATTACTCAGAAGTGTTGTCTAGAAAAACATTTTCTAAAATTTGTCCAAAAAAATATTGTCTATGACCCAGAGGTTATATCCATCAAGGTGTTTTATAGGTGAAGGATGCTATGGTTCTACGGTTTAAGAACAGTTGCAGTGGCCTGCAAATTTCTGGTTAGGAATATTGACATGAGCCACAGGATCATTCTATTTGACTCAAAAAGGTAGCTTTCCTTGATTACTAAGATATCTGCAATACATGCGTATATAAATCTTGATAATATTTTGGTAATAAATAATCAGATATCTTGGAAATATACATGTATTTCTCTTTTTTCTTTTTCTATGTATGTATTTATTTACTTGAGACAAGGTGTCACTCTGTTACCCAGGCTGAAGTGCAGTGGCACAATTACTGCTCACTGCAACCTGGACCTCCCGGGTTCAAGTGATCCTTCTGCCTCAGTCTCCCTGGTAGGTAGAACTCCAGATGCGTGCCACCATGCCTGGCTAGTTTTTGCATTTTTTTTTTTTTTTTTTTTGTAGAGACGGGGCTTTGCCATGTTGTCCAGGCTGATCTCAAACTCCTGGGCTTGATTCACCCATCTCATCCTCTCAAAGTGCTGAGATTACAGGGGTGAGCCACAGTGCCCAGCTGGTTTTTTTGTGTGTTCGTTTATTTTCTCTTATAGCTCAACTACCGCAAGGAGAAAATGTTTTGACTGGAAGATGCAAAGACCAGTCACCTAGTTTTTCATATTAAACACACAGCTGGATAATTGTCTTGCATCTGTCTTTGGGATTCTTGACAGCTTTGCAGCACTCTTACATGTCAGACTTTTTGTCTGTGCCTAAGAAGTTGAAGGTCAAAACTGAGACTGCATTAAATTCATCAAAGTGAAAAGAATCTTTACAAACTTTTGGAAATAACAGATTCTCTTCCCTTCCCTGCTAGCTTTTGTACTGGAGTATTGTTTTGAACTTTTAAAACTTAGTTTTGTATTATTGTACAGTTTTATTTCCCATCTTTCCCATGAAATGAAGTTTAGTGTGAACTCTGCTTCTCTCCTCTGTGGAAGAGATAAAATCACATTTTAAAAAGCGGAGGACATTAAGTATAATTTCTTGTTCAAATGCTTTTGTGCAACATTAATATATCTTTTCTCCAGCTAATATATCCAGTAATCGAGAGATTGTAGTGTATTACTTTAATAAACCTTTCTGATAATTTTACACTTTTTCCATTTTATACACAAATTCCATAAAGGAGCAGTTGTTTCATAATTGTCCTACCATTTATCATATTGACATACTTCATCTTTAATCATATATATTTTGTTACTGTATTATATTAATGCAACATCATTTGTCTTTATAGTAATATTTTTTCACCTTATTAATAATAAATTAAATGAAACTCTAAAATGTGTTGTCCTAAACCTTGTATTTTTAAAAATATTTTTAAATGAGCATTTCAGGATTTAACAATAATCTTTTTCCTTTTTCCTGTCATTAGTATTATTATTTTAAAGAACACAGAAATTGCCTCTCTTTATTTTTGGAAAAAAAAAATTGAGCCTATAGTTGTACTTAGCGGTGAAAAAAAATAAAATATTTATAAAATGTAATAAAATGGGGCATTTTTCTTTTCTCCTCAGTCCCTGAGATAACTTTTCAATATCCAACATAAAACATCCAAAATAAAAGAAATTTATAATTAGCTCTTCTAAAGTAATTGAGAAAAATTCATTTTCCCTCAATTTTCTGCTTTACTTATACTTTCAAAAATAAGATATTTGTTTTAAATCTGTCTAAAGATCTTCATGGTATGGGGAAAGTAGCAGTGCTGATAGAATGGGGTCTGTATTTCAAATGCTTGCTATGTTCTTCATCAGTGTCTGTTAGTCACTTCTACATGTCAACACCAATTCCTATTTGTCACTCTTCAAACCATAACTGAGTGAGAAACAGATTATGCATTTAGTCACAAAATATTAATGCAGAGTTCTAAAAGTGGCACCTGATCTTGTTCTGGCATGTCTACAAACAAGTTTGTTTTACATAAATGGCTTTTCTACAAATTTGAAATGTGAATATATTTTATTTTTTCCCAGTGAGTACACAATACACAATTCTTTGACAATACTATTAACCGATTTTATGCCAATTTCTTCTCTGATCTAACAACATCAAATGAAACACATTAAGATTTTGGACACTGCTTGGTGACTTAAACAAACTACAGTTAAAAAAAAATCCATCTATAAAACAAAGTATAAAAAGTCTACCCACGGCCACAAAATCCCTTTTCTTGCAACACTTTAAAATCACAACAAATGCTTTTGAAATTATGAGATTTTTAAAAAATTAGTAAATTGAACATCAGTTTTTTAAAAAAAGGATGGTGTTTCATTTGAAGTACACATTATAGAGAAGCAAAACGGAAGTAATTTCACCGCTAAAATAATGTGGAGAGACATGTTGCTTTACAACAGTTCTTGCCATGTAATTCCATAAACAATAGACAGAAGCAGATGAACAAATTAGTGAACGTTATGTCTCTGCATATCTTTAATATGGATGCACACTTGCTTCCCAGTAGCGAAGATAAATCACAGTTTAGAGTTCAATGGTACTGTTATCATCAGATTGTCAATGGACAATTACATAAATTTATTGAATAGAAATTGGGTGGTGTTCCATCAAAGCACATTACAGACTTGCAATTCAAATCCTGTTGAAAACATCTTTAAATACTGAGAGCATTAAACTATGACAGAGAACACCATTAAATCTGTTTTGTACTCAAAGCAAGTAAACTTGCAGTGGTTTTACTTTTCTTGGTTGTGTGATACCTTGTATGTTGGTTTTGAATTTTCTGCATTCTCCATTGAACTGAATTCAAATCCTGTGAGGGAATCAATTCTTTTCATGCCCCTGTACTATCCCACCTTATTTTAAAAGTCTCACAGAACATGTCTGGAAGAGGGGTAGGGCGACTCCACCTGCATACATTGGCATACCTGAGTTTGGGCACCAATACAGCTATTTTCCCAAGGAAGACTTTTCCTGTTACGAATGAAGCTGTGCTTGTGTTGGGCATGACTACATAGCAGCATTGCCTATGAGTGCAAGATCAGATTACATTCTCTCCCACCCAGATTTCCTTTTGCAGTCCTTATGCAGGCCTCTGTGTGGACCTGTAAGAGTGAGCTCAGTGAATTTCTAATCACATTCATTGAATCGGCTATGAAATGAAAAACTGCTGTGGCTCTCATAGGTATTTGTATTTTTCTGTTGACATCTGACTACACTGATCAGTAGCTTTTTACATGTAGCAAGTTGACAAAGGCTTTTGATTTCTAATAATGTTTCTGAATTCCTTTGTATAGCTACAGCATTTCATCTTGCCCTCAATCTACCTGCGGGTGATATTTTGAGTGCATAATGTGACTGCCCAATGTGTTTAAAACTAGGTGTAATAGGCAACATGGACTAGTCTAAAAGAACATTCCAAGTAACCACAAGGTCTGCACTGACAGAATTTTAACTGTAACAGTTAATTTTTAGATGCTGAAGACAATCAGGAAGGTATGATGCTATGCCCACATTATTCCAAAAGTCATCTGCATATGCATACTTCACTTTGAAGCCTTGGTTTATTAATCGCCTACACCTGCCAGTTACCAGGGATCAAAGGCTATGTGTTCTATATGTAATGAACTAAGGTTTTAGACTAAACTAGGTCATAGAGAAACACAAAGAGGGAACACAAAACCTCTTCAAAATTTGTTTGCCTTTAAATAGAAAGAGGTTAAGTAGGGAACTGCATAAAGAGATCTTTAAAGTCCTCACATCCTAGAGTTGTGAATAAGTATGTATTCACTCTTGGCAGAAACTTTTCATCTTCCTCAGTCTCTTTGTCCCAGAGAAATCCCACCGCATTAGAATTCAGGCACTGATAGTAGAAAGTTGATAAAGGGTTTAATAACTGTGTCTCAGAATTCCTTTTCTCTTCAGTGAAGAAATAAATTACATGGTACCGTAAAGCTGGTGGGGCCCATGAAGAACATTACGTTCTATACTTGCCTGTGCTGATGCAGTCTCAGGGAATAAAAAAGACGGAAATATTTAATCATGTCATCCCTTTGTTATAACGACATGACATAAATTGGTTACTGAGCCAATAATGCATGGAGTGCGAATTGTCACTCAGAAGGGTCCCATATTTTAGAACTGATCCTAATTACGTTGAACATTTTTAGAAGAGTACCAACAACTGAACTTATCATAGGAAAAATTTGAGAAAGTATAGACAGAAATAAAATTTAAGATTGCGTAGGAAACACATGGGAAAATGTCACAAGTGGGAATTTCAGGAAGGTCCTCTTCTACTTGACTGACTATACATGTACAGTAGCTAACACATATTTCAAAGTCACATTTATTCTGAGCATACATGACCAATGTCCAGGAATTTCTTGTTGTCAAAGTCATGAAAACAAATGAGGCAGGACAATTATTAATGTCCACTTACAAGGTCTGGTTTTATTTAAAAAGTTTATAAACATGCATTTTTTTTTCTCCTTTTAAACTTTTCTTTTCAATTCCCTTATTCAAAATGGGTCAAACGTATTTTAGTCGGAAGCCAATTTCTGAGGATGTACCACAAAATATTTATTCCAATAAATCTACTTACTGTGAACTGAACATACTCTCAGCACTGCTTTTTAAGCACGTACAATTTGGCTATACACTGGGTGGCATAAACTTCACTTCTTAATCAAATAAAACACAAATTGTATATAGACTGTATTTTTTTTAAGTCATGAATTTAAGTGATGCAGCTCTATCCTCTAGTGTGTACTGTACATGTATTAGAAAGATGAAATAAGATATTGCAATAGAGTTTATATTTTGAAACAGCCCGAGTATGCCCTAATAATAAATTGCTTCTTTAACTATTTGCTAGATATTCTAGAGTTCATTTTGTTCATTTCCTTGGGGAACTTCATATTATATTCTGACTTAATGAGTTGGAGAGCTTAATTATGATAATTCAGAAAATGTTTTTAAAAAACTGTAATATAAATACAGCTCTTGCAAAACACCTTAATTTCCTCTTGCTTATTGTAATTCTCAGATGGGTCAATTACAATGACAGGCAAAATTGATTCTAAATAAAACTTTAATTTCTTTTTTTAAGCAAATTTATTACATCTTTGCTACCTGCATACTTTAATGCATATTCAGTCTTAAGACAAACTACTTTTTTTGACCCCTGCTTTTGTCAATAGTAAAAGCCACCTTTCTACTATTTTTAATTGACTCAGTCCCTGATATTCAAAGAAGACTTTGCCAACACCATTGTTCCTTTGCATCTTCCTATTTCTACACCCCAACTGAAAACCATCTAACATGATTTGTTACAACCATCATTATCCAATCTAGCTTACAGTACAGAAACTCCCTTCACATTCAGTCTTTTTCTTCATGTCACGAGGAGTAGAGACTTGTGCTTATCACCAAATAAAATTGCAGTGCAAAATTTAAACATAAAAGTTACACAATTAAAAGTTAATATATGGCACCACAGCCTATTAATTCACATATAGTACAACAGACCAATAAGAACAGACAATAATATGAACAGAGCTAAAAAGAGTGAGCTTGCATAGCAATGCACAAAAGAAATTATATACAGAGGAAAATCCTTTTCTTCCTGTAGGGCGAGTTTTGTTTTCTTTCTTTTTTATATACTCCTGACAAGAAAGAGTTAAGGTGGGTGGTGTACTTAAGAGAAGAACACAATTAAAATATCTGTGGGATATGTGTGGCTGTGTGTCTTTACATTGCATTTACAGTTCTTTTAATAGTACATAAATAAAGAAATTGTTCATTGCACTGTTTAGTGTCATCACTTCCATGAGTTCGGACCTGATGGTCCTTCAGAGCAGCTTTGTATGTCTCCTCTCAGTTACTCTAAAGAAAGAGAAAAAAAATAGAAATAAAATGTAAATTAAGCATTCTACTTTTTTGACCAGCAAAACAAAAAGCAAAGCAAACAGATAATCAATGAAAATAAGGTATTCAGATAGATGAGTTTGTGAACTTAAGTAATTTTACTTGAAGGAGATGATCAATGAGTAAAAGAAAAGAAACACTACAGAATTGGGAAATTTAAACACCCAATAGAACTATTTTGGTACTCTTGTGCATCTGTCATTACTTCAAAAAAAAGGTAAAGAAAAATTCAAGTAGCTGTGAATCAAATTAAAATTATAAACAAATCTTAATCATAGATTGGCAATAGCCAACAACAATGACAACTGAGATCAATAAAGAAATTAACAGTCTTGAAATTATTTCTCTTTTCATTATCTCATGGAATCTTCCAAACAATCTGTGACGTGAAGATAATGGTAATGCTATTTTTCTGATGAGGAAATAGATTAGGAAGACAGATTACTTTCTCATGTCCAATAACCAGTTAAGGGGTTGAGAATATTAGAAACAGGGCTGTTTTCTCAGCAATGCTTTTAAACAGAATTCAAAGAGGCAGTTAAAAATATCCAGCAAATATATTTCTGATAATGAAAAGCTGTATTGGTAACTTTCCTGAGGAAATTAACACAAGGAGCTTAACATTTTTTGCTGTGACGTTCTTAACTTTCCCTATTACCTAGTATTTTACATTTAGAAAATTAATTATACTAACTGTGCCAGTTTTCATTCATAAATGGAAATTTATTTATAAAATGTTATTGTAGTCAAAATATTACAAATTAATTAATAATCAAAGATCAACTCTTCAAGGGTGGCTACCCAAATTTAAAAAATAAATGAAGAGCAACTTGAAAATGAAGAATTCCTTAGGAGTTTCTTTAAAACTACCAAAAGGCCAGTGTCTCCCTTTCTTTATTGTGTTCAGTTAAAAAGGCAAAGAAAATGAGAAATACACTATATTTAATTTCACTTACAAGTATTAAGACTAATCGACTAACTTAAAACAATTTTTATAGCATAAATCAAACTTAAAATAGCAGAAACATTTATAAAAACGGACAGCAATAAATACAGCCATGGCCTAAGTCATGACCAAACTTGCTGAAAATTGCAATTGATTGTTTTCGTAGCAGAGCAAATTTTCTATTAACCTGAAATTTGTTTAATATGGCAATGTTATCAACTCAAGATTCTTTCTGAATCACAATAGCCTTTTAAATGACCTACAGCACTTACATAATTCACCTGTAAACTGTCCTTGACTGTTGGAGCCCATGTATCCTATGTCAAGAAGGTCGCTGGCATTGCGCTGGTGGCCTGCTCTCAACACCTCAGCTTTCCTAGGTCCAGTGGATCCCTTAGAAGAAGCTGTGCCTGATGAGCTGTGGCCGCCTGGAGATGGGAAACTGGGTTTGCTATAGGGCACCAAGGCCTCCTCTGAAAAAGAAAAAAACCCCAAGGGCTAAGTTGAACAGCAACATGGAGGCAAACTAACCTCTTAAATATTACACTGTGAATGGCCTGCTTTACCATTTCATTCTTTAGTAAAATTAAAATTATGAAGTTTAATCAGGACCGGATATTAAAGAAATTTCTATGTGCAAGCAACATTTCCTACAATAGGAACTGAAGCAGAATTAAATGAAAAGAGATCTTGGGATAAATACACAATATTATATATTATTTGCAAAATTTAAATTCATTATAAAAGAGGGCTGAATACAATGAACTACAGTTTGTTTAACAAAAGCATATCTGAGAATAATTTCTAAAGTTCAATGAGGCTCCAATTTAATTTTCCCATTAAGATTAAAGAAACTGGGTTTTTGTTTCAGCTGAAATTATGGCAACATTTTCTCAATCGATTTAAATAAAGAACTATATATTAGTTAATTAAATAAACTTTTAAAATTTATGTTGCTTTTTGAGACAGAAATACAATATTTAAAGGACTATGTATTTCCTTAAAAGAAAAAGAGAAACTCACACATTTAAATAAATAATATGCTTTTTTTTTTTTTACAGATTGTTCTCTCTACAAATAACTCATGACATACGTTACAAATAATCACTTAATAGTTCAAAAATTGTTTTTTCTTTCCCTCTTTATTCTCACTGCTCCCACTCCACACCCCATCCCCTCTGTTTTTCACTTTCTTTCTATGTATGGGCTATTATTCTATGATTAATGCCAACTGAATTTACTATTTCTCCCCTTACATAGTCTCTAATGACAAGAACCACATGATTTTTCTCTCACAGCCTGAATGGTGTAAACTTTCTAAATGTTCCACTAAACCTAGATATTAAAATTGTCATCTACTGGCCCTTGCACCAATGACATTTTCCAAAAACTTGAGCATCAAGTTGTGTCAAAATGGAGTTACAGAAAATGCATGGAGAGAGGCCTATCTAGAACACTTTAAGTCCAAATGAATACGTGAAAATATATTTTTTCAAAGACTGTGTGTATGTGTATGTGTGTGTTTCAATACTCAATGAATCCTGACATGAGAAGCGATATCTCAGAAAATACATTTATAAAATAGGCTCCCCACCTCCCGCGACCCCCCGCCCCCCCAAAAAAATCAACTACAAACAATGAAATTTATTTCTGTGACATTTCCAGGAAGCTTGATTTATAAAAAAGCACTTCCCATAGACACATTAACAATCAACTAAATCAATCAACTGATTAACAGTTGGAGAAAGTGCACGCCCAGTATAACCTTATCTAACTTGAGGGTCTGTGATGGGGCATTTTTCTGCAACTTTGTAATTTTAATGAATTCACCTATTTGATGTGAGTTCTCCTTTCGAATGACTGGTTACTTCAGTCAAAATGAACAAACTTGCTGAAGGCAGAGATTAAACTGACACAAACGATTAAATTTAGCGATCTTTAAAGTATTCAATATAAACATTAATAGGCCAAAAAATAAAATTTTCTACTGAGCAGTTTAGATGAAGCTTGCAAGTCTCTGGAGATCAAAGGCCCTGTGGAGAGGCTGACTGAGGAACACTGCCCATTGGAATCAGCCTTAAGGCATGTACTGGAAAACTCTGCCAAGGAATTCCAAATTCCTTTACTGATCGAAGGCAAATGTTTCTCAGATGCCCTTAAACAACTGCCCTTTCTAGAATACCGGGTAGGAAAAGAAATGGTCACAGTCCACACTTTCTTGGGACTGTGCAGGACACACCTGATCCGACCCCTTGTCTGTGTGGGGCTTTCCGTGTCTCTTCCTGTCGTTCTGTGGAGCTTATCCGTTCCTGGGTTTGCCGCTGCCATTCTAGGGAGGTTCTAGTTGGACCATCCAGTGAGCTCTTTGTGTCTTCTAGGGCGGATGCGTGTTGTCTCTCCAGAGAGCTTCCTTTTCTCTCTGTTGAGTTTTCCACGTTACCAGCCTGCTGGCTCGAGCCTATCTGCTGCCTGAGACCCTGACCTGGCGGGGGATCTGGTGGTGGTGGAAGATCTAAAAATTTTGAATAATGTTTAGAATGGACTAAAATTTAATGAAAAATACAGGTTTTAGTTCACGTTGAAGAAAATCTTTGCCCTCATACAGGTATTACCCATACAAAAGAAATTTGGGGAAAATAAAAGTCAACTGTTTATTTCCAAAGCTCATATTATTGCTCTCTCTGCTGTCTTTCGGCCATCGCATCATTGAAACAAAATTGACTAGTGTTGCTCAACAGTTAAATGTGGGAAGTGTTTTCAGTTGCATATTGAGGCTATCATGCAAGGTGTAAAGGGCAGTTCACTGTTTATGTTCAATCCACTGTCCAACCCTCCTTCCCCAAGAAATACCATGACACAAAATAAGATCACTAGAAATTCCAGAAGCTGTGCTAGCACAAGGCCCCAAGAACAAAAGGTCTCCAAAGGGAATGTCCCCCTCGGGAAATTCAGAACGATATGACGCCTTTACCCATGTATGTGGCACATTTAACAACATTAAGCTAACATTTATTAAATGCAATTAACATTCTGCTTGACAACCAATTCTGGCTGTTCGTTTCATGAGTTAGCTAATGAGTTACAACTAATATATTATAATCTTCCAATGTATTAATTTTAATAAGTAATAACCAATGTTCAGAGTAAAGATTGAATGTGTTTTATGGTGCTAGAGAAGACAATGCATCACAGAAATTTGAGATAGAGTAGAAGAGATAATTTTTCAGAAAAGCTCTTTAAAGTAAATATCAGATAGGAAAAAATTTAAGGTTCCAATATCAGCTCCCTTTTCATCTCTCTTTTATTAACTCTTCAGATCATAATAGCTTTATATTTTGTATGTCTTCGATTGTGAAATCATAGTCCTTTCTTTCACTTTTAAGTATGTATTAGTTCTGAAATTACTTTGCTGAAGATTTTGAAATCTTCTGAACATCAATTTGGATCATTTTCTTCTCATTTTTCTTGCATGTTATTGTAAACTTCTTTGTTCATCCTTAGAATATTGGTAATTATATTATTTTTTCATAAAGACCAAATATCGTATAAAATGCACATTTATTTCATTAATAGAGGACATTGTACATAACATAGTCAATTATTTCTGATGCCATTTTTGTAAATGTATTCTGTTGTTTCTAATAACATTCTGTTTGTGAAATTTAGAAGGAAAACGTATAAATTTCTTGTAGACAAAAGATAGCTTCCTTAACAGTCAGCTAAGCCATTCCTTTCAAAGACTTCAAGAACCTTTATACTCTCTTTTATGAGCAAAATGATACTATTCTCCATTGAACTGATAATGTTGGTCTCTGGAGCATCTCCTCTGAGTTCCTAAGATGGAGCAGCATTGCCAGTTCTTACGTGTGTCCTCATGTTAAATTATGAATTGCTAATAACTGAAGGGAACAGGGTCTCTGGTTGGGAGGATAAAGTTGCATTTGGAATATTTTTCCAAAATGAAGAAATAATCCAATATTGAGATATCTGTTTGTTGGATAATCCAATGAGTTTGGTGTTTCCTTCATATTCGATAGTACTGACTTCCTTCACTATATGTTATTATAAATGCAAATTATTTCATTTGATTTATTGAACTTAGACTGCCAGTGAGCAGAAATGATTGTATTTGCTTCCAAAATAACTTATCTTGTCACTGATTTTTATTCTCCATCAGAGCAGCTTCGTTTTTAAAATGGCCAAAACAGCATCTGCTTATGCCAGCTAAAATTCTGATTATTATTTAATTTAACCAAAAATTATATAGCTTCATAAGAAATATCCTTGGGGTTCGTATATTTTAAGAAGAAAGGACATTACATGCACATTGAAATAAACTAATTGGAAAAAGAAATGGGATTAAGAATGGGTTTTTGAAAAATAAAAGTATGTAATCAAATACATTTACTTAAATTAAATTTATTACTCATTTCTATGTTGATTCATTTCAACCAAATCAATTCACTAAAAAGTCTCTTACTGGCCTACTGAGGATTAGCTCTTTTCAGGCACACAACAGTCCAATGAGATAGGTGCCATTATTACCTTCCATTTTTAGATAAGAAAATGAAGGCAAAAAGAAATAAAAAATCTCCAGCTTGGATCTTTTCTCCTATACACTCCAGACTCATATAACCAGATCTACACTGGACAGTTCCACTTAGGTGTTTAGAAAGCTTCTCAAATTTCATGTATCAAAACTCAGCTCCAGATCATCCTATATAAAATATGCTTCCTCTGCAGTGTTTCTTCTCTCAGTTGGTCACAGTTACATTCTACAAGTTAGCCAACATTTCAGAGTAATGTGGTTTCCTTTCTTTATGGCCTACGTTTATTTCATAACAACTCCCGTTAGCTCTACCTCCAAAATCCAACCTTTCTTAACATTGTCATTGATTCTCCTTTGGCATGAACCACCATCATCTCTTCTCCACTTTGGTAGCTTCCACAATCTCCACTTTGCCTCATTTAGTATATCTCAACACAGCAGCTAGAATTACTTTTTAAAAAATAAACAAATAAATAAGATCATGTCACTTCCCTGCCTTAAACACACACACATGCATACACACATGCACATACATACACACCCCGTCCAGTGGTTTACCATTCGAAGTAAGAGCTAATGTCATTATGGTAGCTTAAAGGTCTGACAAACACTAGCCTTCATTTGCTTGCCTGACTTCGTATTCTATCTTGTTTCTCTCTCTGCTCCAGTCATATTGTTCCCTTTCCTTTTTATCAAATAAGTCTCAGGCTTTCACTTGCCATTCTCATTTCCTGGAATAACCTTTCCTCAGATATCAGCATTACTCTTTCGCTGATGTTATTCCAGTCTTTTCTCAAATGCTGCCTTCTTGGTGAGGCCTTCCCCAATCACTCTACTTAAAAATACTTCCTCCCTACACCTATACTTCTCAACTCCCTTCCCTTTGTTTCTACCCCATAACATTTATCACCATCTTACTTACGTGTTCATGTATGTACTTAGGTTGGTCTTCATCTATCTTCCCTAACTAAAATATAAAAAGGCAGGAGATTTTTGTCTGTTTGGCTCCCATCGTCTATTATATGTTATATGCTTAATAAGTATTTGAGTGAATAATAAATATGTAAATTTATTTGCTCAAAGGCCAACGCTAGTAAGTAAATTTGCTCAAAGGCCAAAGCTCGTATGCGGCAGGGATGAGAAAGGGCCCCTTCTCTGAACAAGACATTAAGAACTAGGGGAAAGGGGCCGGGCATGGTGGCTCATGCCTATAATCCTGGCACTTTGGGAGGTGGAGGTGGGCAGATAGCCTGAGGTCAGAAGTTCGAGACTAGCCTGGCCAACATGGTAAAACCCTGTCTCTATCAAAAATACAAAATTTGCTGGTTGTGGTGGTGCATGCCTGTAATCCCAGCTACTCAGGAGGCTGAGGCAGGAGAATCGCTTGAACCCAGAAGGTGGAAGTTGCAGTGAGCTGAGATCGCACCATTGCACTACAGCCTGGATGACAGGAGCAAAACTCCCTCTCAAAAAAAAAAAAAAAAAAAAAAAAAAGGCTAGGTGAAAGGGAGAATAGGCTGGAAACAGATTATCTAGGAAAAACAGGTTGATGGGTAAACAGATCTATCTTCCTTTTTTAGCATTGGTCAATATATTGGCTTCCAAGGGTATTCTTTGATTTATAAGACAAATGGAATACAAGATTTGGACTCAGGAATGCCTGCTTTGGAGAAACTTACAAAAGGGAAAAGAACACCCTTTACGATGTGTGTGGGATTTTTCAGTCTTTGGGATACAGACTGACATTTCCCGCCATTAATAATCTTTCTTATGGGGCACAGAGAAAGCTGCTTTCTCACCCCAGTATAGTTTGACACCACGTGGCAGAGCTGTTGCCATTGAAACAGGAGAAGCGATGCCACTTGCCATTACAACCTCCCAACAACCACTCATGTTCTGTCTTCCCCTCAGAAACCATCAAGGTCTGATCTAGAAAATGATGGTTCCCGGTGCTGAAAAGGCCTACATGTTTACATTAATGCTTAGAAGACAGCAAACACTATTGTAAAATCTATAATGCAAAAGGTTTATTGTAAAATGTCTGTACACTCAATGCTGCTAGGCATCAGCCTTCCCAAAAAGAACAACTTGATTTTTATATAAAACGTTATGAAATTATTGCTGACACGTAGATCCATACCATATAAATGCTATGACACATGCATTTGCTGCAAAATAACAGTGTTCTTAAGGATAACCTGTAAAGCACCATCCAAAATAAATGTCTTTGTACCACATTATAATTAAAATGGCTTTGGATTACGCACTTGGGGAGATATGTGGGCTGAAATTTCCTTTGCTATATCGCTACTTCTAAAATGTATCATTTTCTAATAATATATTATCCATAACCCCTTTTTGAGATGCTGGCAAATTTGAAATTTTAGAAACTTATTTATTTTTTAGAAAAATAAGCAATATATTGATCATATTTTAAACTAGGAGGCAGCTTGCTTTAAGGAAACATTCTTAAAAAGCTTGCAATAAAAGTGTTTCAGGAAAAAAAAAATCTCTATTTTGTTGATTTATATTTTATATCTTCCACATATTCTGAATAATATCTTCAAACATTTCTGAAAAACCACAGAAAATTCTATACCTAGACATTTTTCTCTTTCCACAGTATTCACAACAGAAAAAAAATACAAAATTATCAACTATTAGATTTATAACTAGCAATTCAGTGAAAGTAGTCCTTTTTTATTTATGAAGAATTAGATCAACGCTACAAACAGTTTTAAGTGCTCAGCTAATTTTCGGAACATCTAAGGCAGAAAGGCAGGGGTGAACATTTTTACTCACCACAGGATACCCATTTACAGAGACTCAAAAATCTCAATTGTACCCTAAACCTTCATGTTCCATTGAAAACAAAGGAAGCAGGAAAGATAAGTAAACCGGAAAGCGTGTAGAACAAATCTATTTGGCTTTTTAAGTCCTCTTACCTTTGTAAGATGACAAAAGAAAGCACAAATAGGGCTGCAGGATTGGATACTCCCTTCCCCAAATGAATAAAAAACAAATGCTTTTCTTCTTTTTCAAGGAAGCTTCATTCTATCCTATAATGGTAAGTGTAAGTGTGCTACGGACTCGGTCATAGCTTCTCCAAGACAGGTACACTTCAGGTTCTCCTGTGGAGCTTTAAAATTATCTGTAACTGGGTTTCACCCCAGAATAATCAAATCTGAATATCTAGGATATATTTTAGAGCTTCCCAGATGGTTCTATTGTGCGGTTTTTAAAAGTTTATCCTTTTGGTGTTTAATTGAACTATGTTAGGATAATGTTTGTGCGCTTATAGGGTATAGTGCTAAAAAGGAAAAAGAAATTTACCTTTCAATCTGACATTGTAGTAGACACTTTAAGTATGTGTTACATATCCTTAGACTATAACTTCAGTATATATATTTTAATTCATTCTTTAAAAGATAGAAGAACTAAATTTAAAATATGGGAAATAGACTATATTCTGTAAAGTTAATGAAATACTCATTATTGAACGTGGATATCTTCCAGTAACATTGTGTTTCTTGAAACTAACAGTGTCTAAGCAAATATTCAAATATTGGATGCTATATATAAATAAAAAGACTGAGCTAGATCAGCAAACTATGGGCCATGGGCCGAATCCAGCCACTGCCCATTTTGTGAATGATGTTTTGTTGGAAGTCAGTCATATCCATTATTCTACTTTTCTTTTCTTTTTTAGAAGGAGTCTTGCTCTGTTGCCCAGGCTGGAGTGCAGTGGCATGATCTCAACTCACTGCAACCTCTGACCCCCTGGTTCAAGCGATTCTCCTGCCTCAACCTCCCAAGTAGCTGGGATTACAGGCATGCACCACCACGCCCAGCTAATTTTTGTACTTTTAGTAGAGAGGAGGTTTCACCACGTTGACCAGGAAGGTCTTGATCTTCTGACCTTGTGATCTGCCCGCCTTAGCCTCCTAAAGTGCTGGGATTACAGGCGGGAACCACCATGCCTGGCCTATTCTACTTTTTTTATAGCTGCAGTCATGCAACAATGGCAGTGTTGAGTACTTGTGACAGAGACCATATGTCCCAAAAGCCAAAAATATTTACTATCTAGACTTTAATAGAAGAAGTTTGCGGACCCTCTGCTAGAGTCTGGATGTTTGTGTACCCCCAAAATTCATACGTTAAAATCCTAATCCCCAATGTGATGATATTGGGAGGTGGGGCCTTTGGCAGGTGATTAGGTAATGAGGGTGGGGTCCTCCTGAAGGGATGAGCACCTATAAGACACACCCAGAGAGAACCTTGTCCTTTCCACTATGTGAGCACACAATGAAAAGGCACCCTCTGTGAACCAGAATGTGGGTCCTCACCAGACACCCAATCTGCCGGTGCCTTGATCTTGGACTTTGCACACCCCAGATTTGTGCAGAAAATTTCTGTTGTTCGGAATCTGCCAGCTTATGGTACAGTCACGTGTTACCTAATGATGGAGATAAGTTCTGAGAAATGTTGTGTTAGGTGATTTCGTTGTTATGCAAGTGGTATGCAGTGTATTTACACAAACCTAGATGGGATAGCTGACTACATACGATTGATCTGGGGTAAAAATCTGTGCAGCATGTTTCTGTACTGAGTGCTACAGGCAGTTATAACACAATGGTGTTATATTTGTGTATTTAAACAAAAAAGGTAGAGCATAAATACAGCATTTTAACCTTATGGCACCACTGTCTCACATGCAGTCTGTCATTGACCGAAACATTGTCGTACAATGCATGACTCTATGTTTTTTATAGCAGCCCAGACAAAGACACTCTTCAACTACATGACCTGTAGCCTGATTTTGGCTCTGAAATTTGTGACTAAAAAATTACTATATCATTTCAAAAAGTCTTTTTTTCCAAAAGTGAAACACCAGCTAAGCTATTGTAATTTAATATTATAAAAGTTCTGACAATATAAGTGCACATGCAGCTTATGTTTTCTTTCCTACTCTTAATGTAAAATGCTCACTAAAAAGCATTTATGAAAGATGCCAGAATGGCAAAAAAAAAAAAAAAAATCAACCTCAAAAAATTGTATGGCATGTATTTCTTGAGGCTTAATAACACAGAAATAATTCTAGATTGTTTTTAAAAATGGTGTTTTATTTAAACAAGACCATATTGCCAGGTTTGTCTTGTTATGTAATGAGGCAATGGCTAAGCCACCATGACTACGTTAATCTAAGTAAATGACTGCATGGAGCACATCTCTTCAGTGAGAAAACAAGGGAAAAGGAAAGAAACCTACCATCTGTCATTCCTTCCCTTCGATGAGGCAATGCTGGTTGTTGGTCCATCCGCCCTCCCTTGTGTTTCTTAGTGGGCCGAGGCCTCTGACTTTGACTCACGGCTGCACTGGTGTTACTGTCAGTAGAAAATGGGCTGGTAGGTCGAGGTCTTTGAGAGGAGGTAAAGGCTTTTCCTAAAATGAAAATAAAGGGAATGGGTTCTAGAGAATGTCATTATAGCCTGCTGATTCCGTCCTGTATTCCTGCTCTATGACTAACCTGTAAATCTACCTAGAGATAACACTTGAAGATAGCAAATATTGGTGCATCTCTGTAGAAAAATATATTTTCTACATTCTTAGGTGCACGTATTTTGTTCAATTTTTAATAAGCTAACAACACCCCCACTGACCCTCCCCAAAAATCAAACAAATGAACATAAAACAGATTCACCAATCCAAAACTCAATTTTGCATGATTATACTTCTATTTAACCTTGACAATATTAGTGATATTTTCAAAGATGTATGCAAATTCATGCAGCTTTTAGTTCTTAAAATTAAAGAAGCTATCTATGAAGTATATACTGTTTTATTTGTTTAATAAAATTTCATCCTTGGAAACTTACAAAATCTCTCTGAACACAGAAAAATGCCATATGGTAATTACATCTGAAATTTTACATGAAAGGTCTGCTCAGACACATATATTAAATTGACCTTACCACTTATGCACACACACGATGACTTCTATCTCTTTTGGCATAAACTCAATAACATCTGTGTAGAGGACAGCAGGTTAAAATCACCTTGTATATCCAGCATGCAATAGGTATTTTCTGGTGAATATTATTGTATCTGAGCAGCTTCCAAGTTCTCATTGAAAAGTGATATGTGCTGTGTCCTTTTCTTGTGGTTTAGAGTAGGTGTACAGGGAAATATATTCTGGGAAAAGGTTAGCTAATAAATTTTCAACACCTTACAATTTTAATACCATGTTTATTATAGTAACAGAGGCCTGGTTTATGTGCATGTATTTACTCTCCTGTGTATGTTTTCTTTTCTTTTTTTTAATGTTTTTATTTTTTTTTTTACAGTTCAAGTAAGATCATGGAAATTTTTATTTCAAACAATTAGAGATGGATATTACAACTAAATAAAATAATTTTACTAGAAAAAAAGCAAAGTAAGGATATAGAAGATTCAAACAATATAATTATAAAACTCAACCTAATTAGCGTATACAGAACATTACATGAAGCCACTGCAGAATATATGTTTTTTCTTTTTTTTTTTTTTCATTTCATACAACATTATTGTATGTAGTTACATTTTCTTAAGTCGATGTGACAGGATATTACTTAATGCTTTATTAGCTATTAGCATACATGCAAGAAATGCACTTATGCTTTCTAATGTATTAGTTTCCTTGCACGTTCTCACTGCTCTGCTTACAGCTAATGCCACAAAAAGCACTCAAGCAACATAAAGTTTCACACTTATTCCTTTCAATGCAAGACAATTCAAACAACAGTTCTATTATAACATATTGTAGTTTGGATGCTATTTGAAAAATAAACCTCTGCAATGCTTAGAAGATATTTTTTATTTCATTTAAAGATAGCTAATGTATGTTCAAAAGAAATATTGGTGGTATAATTCCAAGAAAACTTCCATGACTCATTTTTATAACCTGAGAGTTTAGAGAAGGGTAAAAATCATTTTTCTTTACTATTTGATAACAGTTAAGATTTTGCAAACATACTTAATGTTTTATTAGTTTGTTTTGCAAGGAAGTTCAGTTTAATTCATATATTAGAATATTCTTATATGTATAGTTAAGAATTATACATACAAATATAAAAGCACGCATCATGCCTAAGTTACTTTGTTTCAAATATTTACAAATTACTGATCTATTATTAATCCCACATTCTTTTTTGTGGAATGGGGAGCACTTGAAAAATTATAAAATTGTTCTTTTATATGATTACTTACCACTCTCAGAAATCAAAATTAAATTACCTTAAAGAGAAATACACATGTAGTCATTATTTTATTCAACTTGCAAATGCAGTGGGGTGTATCTTTAATTAGCATCCTTTAAGACAAATAATAAATTATTGTATTAAAATCTTACTAGCCAAACGATTAATAAGACCATAAGCTATTTGAACTGGTAAGACCAACAGCCTTAGACCCATTTACCCCATGCTAAGGAAACCTTCCCAGAAAATGCATTTGCAGAAAGAGATGAGGCAAAGGAAAGTAATGGAGATAAAAGCTGAGTAAATTTAATCACTGGGTACATTATTAATTGTGTGAGGATTTTGCAAAGTGTGAGTTATTGAAAATTTAATAGCAATCTTAGTTGCTGCTTTGCTGTAATATAAAAGGGAAGCCTATTCCAATTAATCAGCAAAGCCGTGAAGAGAAAGGAAAATCAGAGATAGAAAGAGGCGGAGTCTTTTCTTGGCTCTGCAAAACTAGCATCAGAAGAGAGTTTTGGTAATGGAGCATCCAAATTGTGTTCATGCACATTAAAGAAAGCCCTACAGTCAGACTCACTAAGGGGAAAGAACAGGAGAAAAGAGGTCAGTGTCCAAGAACAAGATTCTCTCATGCAAAGAGTGTTGACTTGGAGTCTACCAACCTGTTCTTGTAAGGCTGGTTCCATCCAGCCTAAAACCAGCTTTATCTGCTGCTGCCACCAGTGCTTGTGCAAAACTGCCGCTGGCAAAGATAGAGCCATCGGAGGAGCTACCTACACTAGATCTATGACTAGAAAAGTTACGATCCTCATCAGATGCAGAGCCCCATCCATTTACCATTGAACCTAAAAACAAATGTAGTGGTCTAGTGAGTTGTAGATATTGAAAATCTCATCTGCTGTACACACTATACTAACGAGCAAGTAGGCTGTCCTCGCTTCTTTCTTGAAGTTTCATCATGATTTCTTTAGCCAAATACAAGTATCAGGTACATTTTAAACATTTTTTGTGCAGAAGAAAGAAGCTCATTTAAAATCTGTATCTGTTTGCAACACATAATCAAAGCACGTGCTGTACTGTTCACCTCTTACACTGTTTAAACCATTACACAATCATTTTCCAAAAGAGAGTTGTGATGTACATTTTAAGCTACTATAATTCAGAAATGAACACTTTCAGTAAAACAAACTTAGTGTTCTTAAACTCATCACAGACTCAGTTGAAGAAATAGTGTGAATATATTTTGAATTTAATGCAGACTCCAAAGATAATCTGCATAGAAACTACACTATATCATAAAAGGCAAAAATTATTTCAAGATTTTAAAATAGAAACTTAATTACAAATAACAACAAAAATTCACAAACAAAAAACGTATAAACAGTATCAAAGCAAATGAACTTAGAACATAAGATAAATGTATTTTAAAGAAGTTCTATTAATTTAAATGCTATTTTTGCTTACTTTGCCCTTTAAGTTATTTAAGAACTCCAGTTTTCTCTTTAGTACTAAGATTTATGTTAAAAAGTAACATTTATAAGGACTATCATCGGCATTAACATGAATTTTTTCTGCAAAATGCAACATGGGAATAGAGGAAAATAAATTTAATTTTATGTTTAAAGAGCTGTAAGTTGTGAAGAAACATTTTTTCTTGATTTTCTAGCAAGTCATTTATAATTTTATATATTTTCTTAGACAAAAACAAACAACATAATCTCCTACTTAATACAATTAATATTACAAGATTTATTCATGTTGGTATATCATTAATTCATGACACAAAAAACTACCAAGTATTGCTTATCCTATTTTTGTTAGAAGAGGAGCAAAAAGTATTTGTAAGAAACTAATTTCAGATTTCGAAATAAATCAAATACATATTTACATAAAAGAGATGAAAGTCAAATGCTATAGACCATTTATTTATTTATTTTTTCTCTAATATTTAAGCAACTACAGAATAGTTAGGAGTGTTGCCCTGATGCAGTATTTGTAATTTTGGTCAAGGGGCCAGGATACAATGACACGGATTCATGCACTTTCAATACCAAGAAAACAGAAGCTGAACTGGTTAGAATGATCTGAGAAGTTGAAAGGGTGTTAAGTGTAGCAGAGAAAGATAGAGTTTTGATTCTGGTTGCCAAAAGCACAGAGATACACTTTTTACTTTTCAAACAAATTCCCTTGACACAGGCCACTGCAAGGAAGCCGAGATAACACCAGCAACTGAGCCTCTTCTGAGAGAATCATTTCTGGGTTAATAACCACAAGTCAAGGACCAACAATCCAAAATGAAAGAAGAAATGATGCAGCAGGCTTTGCAATATAATGCTGTACTAGGTACGAAAAAAAACCAAAGACATTCAGTGAGGGGGTCACAAAAGAATACGAAACTCTGGAACTGAGGATGGTTTAAAAACATTTGGAAGCTCACTCCCAGTCCCTTCCCTGTGCTGTTTTCTGTACTTCTAAATGCCGGCTCTTACTGTCCAAATAAACGTCTCTTTAATCTTCACCTTATTTCACTCCTAAACTCCTCCTACCTAATTTCATTCTCATCTCTTCTGTCTTCCTCATTGCTTTCTGCACTACCTTTGTGAAGCACTTACATACATGTGTTCCTGTTTAAAGCCTTACCCAGCTAGCCAATGCCATATCCAAACTGCTAATTCAGTATTTGCAACTCTTCAATATCTAGCCTAGCCTACTGATATGATGTGGCTCTGCACCCACACCCAAATTTCATCTTGAATTGTAATCCCCCTGTGTCAAGGGGGGAACTTTGTGGGAGTGAATGGATCATGGGGGCGGTTTCCCTCAGGCTGTTCTCACGACAGTGAGGGATTCTCATGAGAACTGGTTGTTCGATAAGTGTCTGGCATTTCCCCTGCTTGCGCGCTCTCTCTCTCCTGCTACCATGTAAGACATGCCCCTTTGTCTTCTGCCATGATTGTAAGTTTCCTGAGGCCTCTCCAGCCATGCGGAACTGTGAGTCAGTTAAACCTCTTTTGTTTATAAATTACCCAGTCTCTGGTAATATCGTTATAGTAGTGTGAAACCAGACTAATGTACCTGCTGTGTATTAGTCCTCATTCACTCTCTTACAGCCTGTGTGTCTCCTTGCTCATTTACATAACATCATCTTTCATTCTTTAGACAGAGATATTGCCACTAACGCTATTAACCACTGACAAACTTTAAAGTCTAAATTAAATGCCATTTCTGTTATCACCTTAATTCTATCTTATTATAGAGAGAATCCATCTCTCTACCTCCTTTGGTTTCCAAACACTACACATAAACTTGCTTATCAGTTCTCTCTATATATTATGGTCTGCTGCACATGTGTTTCCTCTCCTAGACAATGGAATTCTGGAGGTTAGGAACTATTTCATATTTATTTTCATATTTTTTGTTCAGGGACATTTTACATTAGAAATTCAATAAACAGTAGGCATATGGAATTAAATGCATTCAACTTTTTCATTATTCTATAATTCTGTGTATGACATTATTTGATGTGTAACTTCTTAGCAATAGAAAGAATTTTCTCATAGGAACTCTTAGAAAGTTTATTAAATAAGGAATATAATGATAAATAGTATATAGATATGTGATATATATGTGTGTATTGGTTATGCTTTGATACACTTAAATATTGATATTTAGCAATATCTTATTTAAATTAAGATAAAAAATTTACATTAAGTGGCAGCTTAGTTTCTTTGGAGTGTAAATTTTCCATCCATGTTTATCCATCTTAATGCACTTGGCCCAGTGATTTGTTTTCTAAAATTTTTATTTTTCCACTATAACCAGCCTAAAAATAGTTGAGTTTCTTTGGTTTCATGTCTATGTCCGCTTGCTTGTAATTCCAGCCTGAGGATCTAGCAGAGTGACACATTTGGTCTCTGAACCTATAAAACTGACTGTGTACCTATTGAGAGGTGAAATCAGTAAATCCTACACTACAGTAGTAGCACTGAAGAAATTATATCCTGTGAGACCTCCTAGCAGAGAATCAGCCTAACTTTCTGCCTCAAATAATCCCATTTATCTCCCTGTGGTAACTTGCCAGTCCTTCATCCGAGCATTTCCACACACACACACTTGTGATACTTTAAACAAACGGTCTACTTCCTGCGTTTGTGTCTTTGCTCTGCCTCTCTCCCAGCCTTTAGTGCTCCTTGTATGTCCTTAAAGCTCCCAATTATTCAACAAGTTTTCCCTGCTGCTTTTTGTCTCCCTCTGGGAAGAGAGAGTAACATGGAAGACAGGGCTTCAAGTGAGTATTGGTAAATACAGAAAGAACATCAGCTATTCTTTCTTTTGTACTTCTTGTAAGAGCAAAGAGACAAGATAGATGACTTCAGAATTCAAGATATGTGACCACAGATACTTGGCCATTATCAGGCAACAGGAAATCTCATGACCCAATCCGAAGAGACAGAAGTGTCTCATGTTAGTGTAGTTGTGTTTGCCTTCAAAACGGAGGGCAAGGAACATAGAAAGAAATTTTCTCTCCTTCTTTTCATCTCTCCACCTCTCTGTCTGGTATCTTCGACATCCCTTCCTCTACAGTTTGGTTAAGATGTATGGAATGCGCATATCTATGGTAAATATTTTTAAAAGACATTTGGCCACATTCCATAAATCAAATAGTATATAAAATATTAAAATTCCTTCTGTAAAATGGCTAAAATATATTGAACATCCACTGATTTTTACCTCTTAGTGGCCTTTCTAAAAAAAGGAAAAATGTTGAGATTTAAACATGAACAATGAGCTGAAGATCTAGCTTAAAAAAGAGAGAGAGAGAGAAGTAAAAGATAATGAATGAACAAAAATAAAAACATGAATTCACAAATTTAAAAGTAAGTCACTTTTGTGATAACTGATTTTTCTTTCATAAACATAAGTATAAACATGAAAATTAAAATGAACACCAGGTAAAACCAATTCGGCTAGAGGCTTCTTACAAATTATAAGCACTCCATACCAATTTGACATGTTTTAACCCCAAACATAATCAATACATATTTAAATGTTTAATGAAAAATGAATTTATGTCAGAGAGCCAGATTTATTTGTGTTTACATTTTCAATCTTTCCAAATTTCCCTGATTTAAATTGCAGAAAGGCCACAAAAAAATCTCAAATGTATTCAAGCTGTTAAAGTAGTCCTGCACATAGGACATTAAGTTGTTGCTCGAATGTTACTGAGCAGTAAAATACCATGATAAAGTGGCATCTTGCTGTGTCTCTATTCCATCTTCAGCACTAAAATTAATTTATGATCAGTCATCAATTCATTTACATGTCGTTTTATGCTAAATCTTTCCTTGCTGATAAATGCTTATCCTTAGATCCATTAAGCTAGAGTAAAGTCTGTGCTTCATAATATGACCCTGCTAATTGTTGCATTACCATTTTTATGAGATACAAAAACTAGCCGTCCCCTGTTTTTTTCAACCAATATTTAATCTATGAACTTTTCCTATTCAATATTATTTGTCTACCTGTTGAGTAAAAGCTGCAGCTACAAACATCTTTAGATGAATTAATCCAAATATTGACCTTTGCCTACATGTAGAAAAATATGTCAAATCTGCAGAACTTCTTCTTTCACTCAAACATTTTGAATATGCAACGATTCTACCTGCATGCCTCAGAGAGAAAGGAATGTGTAATCATCTCTAATCCCAGCACTTTGGGAGGCTAAAGTGGGAAGATCACCTGAGGTCAGGAGTTTAAGAACAGCTTGGCCAACATGGTGAAACCCTGTCTCTGCTAAAAAGACAAGAAAATTAGCTCAAAGTAGTGGCCCGGGCCTGCAATTCCA